TAAAATTGCACTTTTGTTTAATAGCGCATGAAAAGCATGACAAGAAAGCAAGCATGTTCAAGGCATGAAGGTCTGGTCAGTGTCATATTAGTTTATATATTACAAGGATACTGCCAAATATCTCTTCGATGTACATTGGTTGCTGTTTTATGCTTTGTCTTTGAAAAAATCTGGGAATTAGAGATGTAGTCTTTTGATTTTCTATATATTTTTGAAAAGAAAACTTTAAATCATCAATTACAGTTTGAAACTTAAATAAAATATATGTATATAGTTAATATGGCATTTCAAACTGTATTCTTTTTTTTTACATAATTCAAATTATTGCATGTATTTCTTACATTGCAAGACTGCTTAAGTGAACTGCAAACAAGTTAATTTGTGGCAAATAGTGATTTTGTGTTGATTTTCTATATAATTTTGGTATTTGGAATAAAACATTTTTTCAACATGAAGGAAAAATCACTATGGTACCTGGATGAATCTTACAAAACAGGTCAGGAGCATGACCAGGTTATATTTCACTACAAAATCTAAATAAACATTTTATAATTGAAATACATTTATTAATATATTTATATTCACATATTTGTTATATTTATTTTATATTGTATTTATTATAAATTCATTTTTACATAAATGTCTCAATGAAAAAATCTTAATGGGATACAAATAGGGGAAAAAATATAGATTTCCTGCTCTGTTACAAGCTCCTCCAGTCAACATAAACCACCTGTCAGACATCACAGAAAGCCAAATAACTCTCTCTGTTTTTTGCATTTCGCATGAACATGAAAGAAGTTTGTTAAAGTGCGGTGAATAATGCCTTGGTGATGAAAACAGCTTAAATTATCGATTAAAGTTTGAAAATTTTGATTTTCACTACCAGCAATTGCAAGTAAACAATTTATCTAAATTCTTATATATATAGGTTTTGTACATACTGTAATTTGAAATATTACATGTTCTTGTCACATTGCAAGACTGCTAAAGTAAATTGCAAAAAAAGTTAAATGATGCTTGAACATATAGTGAAAAACTTCACAGCCTCTAACTTACACCCAAATTTCCAGCATGTTATAATATTAATTCTATTACAGTTTTTGTTCAATTTTGATTTTCACTACCAGCAATTGCAAGTAAACAATTTATCTAAATTCTTATATATATAGGTTTTGTACATACTGTAATTTGAAATATTACATGTTCTTGTCACATTGCAAGACTGCTAAAGTAAATTGCAAAAAAAGTTAAATGATGCTTGAACATATAGTGAAAAACTTCACAGCCTCTAACTTACACCCAAATTTCCAGCATGTTATAATATTAATTCTATTACAGTTTTTGTTCATATTTTGAATTATTTTTTTCTATTTTCTGTTTTACCTTTAATTTGAGTTAAAGTTTAGTTTAGTAAGTTTTAATAATTTTATTGTGTTTTTAATATATAATTTTTAATATATATTTTTAAATATATATATACAGTTTTAAACATCTTTATGGTAAAATAATAATAAAAAAATAAAAAAATTTATTTTATGAAACTTTGTTTAAACATTAGTATTTCTTGCTTTACAACATTCAGGAAACATTTAAAAGTGCAAAATAATAAAATGGAACATTTTTCATAGTTTTAACTAACTTTAATAAGCCTGGTTATTTAAAGATTACATGTAATTTTTTTCTATAGTTATGCAGAGAAACTGGTTCAAGTTCAATGTATTATTTTATTGAGTTACCAATGTTGGATAATTGAATAATAGGATAATGTGTGAACTTCTTGTTAGACAGATTACGTAAAATTTTCCCGGGACACGGGGTTGTCACCTCACACAAACCACCCACACATTCTGGTATGAATTTCATTTCCTTTCCATTTGTAGACTATAATTTTGTCAGCGAGGGATATTGGAGAGGAAAACACAGTTGTGGTTTAGAAACTGAGAAGATTGAATTCGGTGATTTCACTGTTGACGCTTATTGCGAACAGTTGTTGCGCCCAACACAAAGCCGGAGAAAAGCAATGTTTTCATTAGTTTAAGACAAAATGGCACAGTAGCTAAATCAAGCCTATGCATGACTATAAGAACCAGACCTTTTTGATCGGACAAGGATTGGAATTCGAGTGGTTAGATCGTCAAAGATGAGAATAAGGATACACTTCAATTATCCGATTTCTTAATGTTAACGTAACGGGACAGTTATAGGGGAGAACATAGGAGACATTTAAGACCCCGGAGACCTCAATTGCATCCAGATTCAAGTTTTTAAACTCGCAGTTGTTACTGTTACGATAATTGTCCATGAGACAGTTCATCAAATGCTGACAGATAAAAAGCATGAGAGGGCCCCTTTCGTCTGTGTCTTCAGCATTGAGCCATCAGCCTCAGTTCCTCATGGTGTTTATGGGCTCTGTTGGGGAAGAACATTGTTACACTTGTATTTATAGGCATTGGTTGGGTCTTTTGTAACGTGATAGTGTGCAGTGCAGTAAGCCCCAAGAGCTCAAAGATGAAGCCACGACTCACTATTTTCACTATGTTGACTATGATTTGTGTTATCATACACAAACCCTGGAACGTCATTACAATAGGGGAGGTTGAGCAGAAAGCCGTATATGATATAGAACAGACCATATGAGCGAAAGAGAGAGCAATAGAAGGAGAATGTTAGAAGCTTCAATTTATAGACAAAGACTGAAAGGTTTGTAGAAAGCAACTTCCAGTACACTTGTTACAGTGACCTGTAACCTCTGGAAAGGAATGTTACAGGTTTTATACAAGTTTGAGCTCAGTTTCTAATTTAAGCATCAATAAGATCCTGGCGTTTACGTTGGATAATAACTTCAGCAAGTTCCTCAGTTTATAAAAACAAACAATAATTGTGTGTATGCTTATGTATTTACAGCTGAAGTCAACAGTGCACTTCGTCCTGGAGGGAATTTGAAGCAGTAATGTGAAGCACATTTTTTGTTACAACACTTAGGCGAAGTGTGTAATTTCAGCGGCAATAAATGGACTTGTAAGACTGCTTGTTTTCAAACAGGTTGTGTTGCTGTGTTCATCAGGATACTGGAACAAACAGAAGTTAAGATGTAGAAGTTAAAACGTACACTATTGTTTAAAAGTTTGAGGTTGATACGATTTTTAAACGTTTTGGAAAAAAGTTTCAGCAAGATTTTGCATTCATTATAGATAGAAAAATTGCGGGAAAACACCTGGTTAGTGTATAGATTTTAATTGCATTATGACTATAAACTCAGTTTTAGCTTGTTTTTGCAAAATGACAGACATGTAGAACGTATTTGCTGTGTTAATCGACAACATGTCACAGAGTTTAAAGGAATAGTTCCCCCGAAAACTCTACTCACCCTCAGGCCATGTAGATAAGTTTGTTTCTTCATCAGAACAGATTTGGAGAAATTTAGCATTACATCACTTGATCACCAATGCATCCTCTGCAGTGAATTGAATTTTAGCTGGAAGCAAGAGTTTAAAATGTCTTGATGGAATTGTTTCTTACAGACACTCAGCTTTTCACTTCACACGATGTTAACTGATGGACTGGATTTGTGTGCATTACTTGTGGATTATTGTGATGCTTTCAGCAGCTGTTTGAACTCTCATTCTGACGGCACCCATTCACTACAGGGGATCCATGATGTTGAATTTCTCCAATTATGTTCCGATGAAGAAACAAACTTATCCTCAGCTTGGATGGCCTGAGGGTGAATACATTTTCAGCAAATTTTCATTTTTGGATGAACTGTTCCATTAAGTTGAATTGAACCTTGAACATTCCTATAAGGATGCCGGATGCTTTAGATTTAGTAAAGTGAATGGCACCGGGGAAGTGAAACCATGAGACCCTTTCTTGACAATCTTTCTAATAGGGGTTGAATCAGCAGGGGTTGATTAACCTAGAACAATAACAATAATGCCAACAAGAAAAGTGTGTCTGCGACCCGAGCTCGTTAGCATCCCAGCATCCCCCTGTCCTGCCTCGCTCAGGTATGGTTTCTATTTCAAAGTACCTAAAGAAGAGAGGAGGGAAAGAGGTTGATGGAAGTGATTTAGTGCCCAGGGGACAGAGAGAAGGAGGGGGTTAATCGGTTAACCAGAGGAACAGAGAGTAGGGGGGCCTGGCTACCGTCTGGGAGGTGGAGGTATGCCCTCGGCCGCTTTATTCTGACTTTCATATACACGAACAGGAAGTGATGCGAGGTGCACAGATATGCACACTTCAACTGCATTTGTTTGTGAACAATGGATTTGCACCTAATCCAGATCAATTTTAAGTTGAAATTGTCCTGGTTTCTGCATCACATATGTAGGGCTGTTTTTACACCTTTCTACTGCCTTGGTCAAATTACTGTGTAAGTTTGGCTCATATGGACTTCTATAATCGTGAATCTAATGAAAACTGTCAAGGCATGTCCAGGTCATATTTCACCCCAAAATAAAAAAAAATAAAAAAATTTAGCATAAAGAAAATAGTTACATTTTTAGATAATAATATTTTTTGTACTGTACCAATTATTTTCATAACAATTAAGCAAATTTACCCCCCATACAATTTATTTGATCTAAAACTAATGAAATATACATTAAACAAAAATGCATTAATTTAATCAAAACTAAATTGAGCATTACTATAATGGGAATTCTTCTATTGTCATGAAAATAATATCACATTAAAAATCTACTAAAAATGCTTCAGTTTTTTTTTTTTTTAGTTTAGTTTAGTTTAGTTTAGTTTAGTTTAGTTTAGTTTAGCTTAGTTTAGTTTGCTGTCAAATGTAACCCAGACATTTCTTTGTGGAATTGAAATATATTTCAAAGTTCATTATAACTTCAGCTTAGCATTCTCACAGGATTCTACAAACGTATGATCTGAAATTTTTTTTTAATGAATCCGTATGTTCAGAAACCTCAGTAATGAAAAAAAAAAGTTTTATGTAAGACATTTTTCAAGTCATTACACATCTTTCCTGACTTCAGGTCCTCCTGGGAAACGTGGACGGATGGGCAGAAGAGGAGACCCTGGTGAGTGCAATCTCTTCATTTATGTTCCCCATGCCTGATGTCTAGCACTTTTCTGTAAACATTGTTACTAGTGTGCCTAATTCATAAACATTAGATGTGACTGGGAGGAAGTCCTCATTGAATGTGGTTTTGATTCACCGAAGACCCTCAGATGATTCAGAGGTATTAAACTCAGACTGATGATAACTCGGCCATACAAATTAGGATGGTGATGTATTTCTAAGTGAGCTGTGCTGTAGTCACACACATGGCTCTCAAGGACACAGATTGAGAGAGGTTTTAATGAAATGAATGATTCATTGTCACGTGACGTCACTTGCGGAGAAGCCATCAGTATAGCTTGTTAAATTTAAGAAGGTGTCCAGATAATGTTTTGCCTGAAAACATCTGTTATCTTTGGATAATGTGTACAGTTTATACAGCAGAACCTATATTCACCTTCTGACCATATCCGATTAAATCTGAGATTGCGGCGTTCCCATACAACTGGCATTCGGACAGAATGACAATTCTTTACATCTGTTTTTCAAACTTGTTCCAGCCCTGCTGCCCTGGGAGAGGAACTTCAAACGTTGGCAGAACACTTTATTTACATAGAGATAGTGGGTCATTTTGTCACTAAGTCTGCTGGATGTGGTTCTGTTTAGCTGTGCCTGCTTGTTGTAGTTTGGGTCGTGAAGCGAGCAGGAAGAGTCGAATGTTGAGACAACACCATTGCACAACAGTCTGTTTGTTTCTCTAGTGTGAGGGAGAAAATATGGTTGGAAAGCTGGAAGATATTTAGCAGACTAATCAACGCAAACATTAGGCAGGTCGTGTGCGTCCATGATAATTAAAAAGTTAAAAGCGCTCGTTTAATTAGAACCCTCGTCAATTAAATGATGAATCTTTTTACTAAACAATTTTGATGTGCTCAATTAAACTGTAAAACACATTCTCATTATTTTTCTCTTTCAACATCTTACTCTTAAATGCTTTCCAAATGGTGAGGCCATTTCGTTCACAATGGTCAGAACTTGACTGTGCTGAGTGAATGTTATCTTTTAAACTCTTAAGAGTCTGCCAGCATCTAGACATGAGCATAAACATATGACATAAACTTTCTGCTTCGTGAAACCTCAACACATCTTTTAAACCTCTTTTTCTACTCTGAGGGTCATAACGCTTACCTGATGAACATTTCAGGAAAAAAATGTTTAGAGGTTTACCTTTTTGTTAAAAAAGTGGACGTGTAATTTTGTGTTATTATTGAAGTTAAACTGAAAGTTAAAAGACATTTGGATTGTTTTAAATGTCTCTTTGTTGTTCTTCTTTTATTTTTCAGGACCCCCAGTAAGTACCCTGTCCTCACACTTCAAAATAATGACGTGTAGCAGATATGGGCTCTGTATTGTGGTAAGGCTGATAAAACGTTTAAAGGGTGAGACATAAAACCCGAGAAATAGCCTTCAAGTTCTGGAATCTTTCATACATCCTGAAATTTTTACATTTGAGAATATGTGCACCAGTTTATCTGACATTAAATTTCTAGAACCTTCAAATTTAAGCCTCTGAAAAATTTGCATGCTAGAATTAGCATTCTTTTGAGATTCCAGAATAAAGCTTAAAGAATAAAGTTCTGGAATATTCATTTCAGAGCAGCTGCAAGTTTAAGGCTAGGAGATTAGCCCCCGCTTTCACAGACAAGGCTTAAACTAGTCCCAGACTAAAATGCATGTTTGAGCTGTCTCAACTGAAAATATCTTGCTCTGACATATCTTAAAATATGTCAGTGTCATTGTTCTGTGTCAAGATACACACCTGTAATGTTTTCTTCTAAGGCATTTTTGTAAAAGTTGCTTAAATATCTTAATTTAACTAAGGTCTAGTCCTGGCTTAAGCTAAACCCCGTTTGTGAAACTGGGCCCTGGTGCTTCTGATATTAAAGTTTTACAATATTCAAACCAACATTAAAGTTCTGGTATCCAACAAAAGTGTAACACAGCATAAGAACAGGTTGCAAACTGTTTGTCACCTGCTTTAGATTTAGGTTAAAACCAAGCTGTCAACACCTTGTTGCAAATAGATATGTGGCTTCTAATCCATATTTTAACAGGCTGTCATGAAGATTTCATTGATCTGTTTAATGCTCGCAGATGTCAAATTATGTGACAGCTTTCAACATTTGAACAGTTTAGGTTGGTTTGCTAACTTTCACGTTTAGTTTGTGGTCTTCTGTAGAGCAGAGGTCCACCGGTTTATTTACTCAGAAGTCTATTGCAATGTTAAGAAACCCTAAAACACTTGAAGTTTTCATTTATAATCCTGCAAAGTGCTGTTATTCCAACCAATAAACACATAAAACAGAGATTTACATTGTGGAAAGACTGACAGGTTGTGTTTCTCTATTAAAGTTTTGGAATGTGCAAGTACGTTCTTCAAGTTCAGATTGGTTAATAAGAATAATTTACAGTAGTTTAATTTTTATCACACTGGATTTTAAAATATTTGGCTTTTTTATGAAGCTGAACAGATTCTCTTGAGATTATGAAAACTGTCATGATGTTACCTTGGGATTTGTAATCTTTTTTTTTTTTTTAAATCTACTGTAGGTCTATATTTATTCATTATATCTAATTTTTCTTTGCACAGGGCAAACCTGGGCGAGACGGTTACCCGGTAAATGTCCTTTTAATGATCTAGTTTCTTCTTGGGTTTTAATCTCCATTTTATGGAGCTCTTTTTCTAATTCCTTCTATCACCTCCAGTTGACTTGCTGTTCATCTCTGTTTTTTTTTTCATTTCTGTCTCACTAAATATCTGTGCAGCTCCCCAGCTAACAGAGAATGTTCACATAACTAAAAAAAATTAAAATAAAAACACAAAATGTTTTAGCAAAACGTTCTTAAAACATATTTTTGTTAGCAGGGTCATAGAATATATATTTTTAAGAGGAACATGAATTAAACAGCTTATGCAGTGAGAGAAGTGTTAGTAATAGTGTCTAAAATAAGCACTAAAAAGTTTCAAACACTCTTCATTATGGACACCATCGTCTCTGACGAAGAATGAAACTCTTTCGCTGCTATTTCAGCAACATGGCTGATAATGATGTTGAGTTTCCTGGAAAGAGTGAAAGCGCTGCTGGGCTCAATTACGCTGGTAATGGTGTTTCTCTGTTGAAACCACTATAGATTCATCCCTTTGGCTAAACGTGTCCGGGACAGCAGGCCAGAAACACTTAGGACTTTTACTTTATAATTTCCTGGTTTCTTGAACCCTGAAATGGAAAGTACTAGGAAAGCAGTTGGGCGTTTATAAATGAATCGGGCGTAGACAAAACATCACATGTGAACTGTGACATATGGGCAGAGGTACTCCGATCTCTTAAAGTACAACACAAATCTGATGATTGTTTTCTGATGACTGGACTTTGATTAGAGTAGTTTGTTTGTGTTCAAATAAAAAGAAAAGACATTTGCTTGGTAAACTGTGAGTCATAATTGCATCTTGTATTTCATTTATGAAACAAGCCCCAGTCAAACAATCAATAATCAGTTTATATATTTTTCAGCACCTCTGTTTATGTAGATACAAACATGAGATCAATTCTTGGGGTCCAAACAGATTTCCAATTGAATTGGATCATTGTTGTGATTGTATGATCTACTGTAGAACTGGTCTGGTGGCCTCTAGTGGCTGTCAGTGGAACAGCGGACAGCAGAATGATAAGCAGCAGGCTGTTCTGGAACATGTCAAGGTGAACCTGGGGTCAAATTGTGGTTAGTCACAAAGCGAATGAGGCTTTGTACCTTGTTTTGTCTGGATCTTAATTGTGGACCCCATGGTTTGGTTGGTTTGGCTCCAGATATCAAGATATGTTTAGTTAACAGGCCTTACTCACCTCGCGGCGTGAAGTAGGAGTTCAATAAGAGTATATTTGTCTGGGAGTTCTAAGTAAGCCTTACTGTGCCTCTTTAGCCAATTATACTGCAGATATTATTTATTACATCCCCACTTCCTGTCTCTGTACCCATTATCTCTACTATCGTTGCAGTAAATCATAGTGATGTCTGTACTGATATGCTGGCGTATCTGCTGTAAGATCAGCCTCTAGATAACGGTCTATGCCAGGCTGGGTCAGTCATGCCCAGCAAATTAGTATCAGAGGTACACTCATGGTTTTCCCAGATTTGTACGTCTGCCGGGAAAAGTCTGTGGTTAATTATAGACAGGTGTGTCTGTGTGTGTGTACATGCTACACACACTCATTCTTGAGACAAAGAAAAGTCTGGGTCATATTTCACTCTAAAATCAAAAGAGAGTTTTTTAAAAATTGTATATTTTGTATATATGTAAACATATGTATACATTTTATGCAAAAATAAATATAGGAATAAAATCTCATGCTTATTACTGTAGTAAAGTAATAAAAGTCATGTTCAGATGCAATGAAATCAATGAACTGTTCATTTAAATACACTAAAATCATAAATAAACTTTATTTATTGCAATAATGGGAATGCTATATTTGCATAAATAAATTAAATGTATGTATTCAATCCTTTATAGTAAAATAGCTAATATAGTAATGAAATTCATGCTGTTCAAATACATTATTAATTAATTCATTCATTCATTCATTATTATTATTATTATTATTATTATTATTGTTATTGAAATCTATTTAATGACAGTTTCATAAACATACATTTAAATTACATTGTATTCATTTATTTATTGCAATAATGGAAATGCTATATTTTTCATAAAGAATTAAATGTATTTTTATATATTTTAAAAAACATATATAAAAAGTAAAATGTTTAAATGTGACCTGGAAATTGCATTATCTGAGATTATTTATTTATTTAGTTATTTATTGCAATGATGGGAATGTGATAATTTTCATAAACAAATTAAATGTATTTTTTATATAGTTTTAAATGATATAAATTTAAATATATGCACATTAAAATGATCTATTACACAGCTCTGAGGAAATCTTGATTCTGATTGGTCAGTCGCAACATTACGAGGTATGTTATCCCTCGATAACAACCGGTAAAAACGAATAACACAGGCTCATCCAGGTAACTGAAGTCGGCGCTATACTCTTGCCAGGAACAGTTTTGCGTTTATTTAGCTAATAAAATATTAAAACTCAATTCTCAAAACTCCGCTTCACGTCGGGGTCCTGATCACCCTGTTGGGGGTTATTCTGCGATAACAACCGGCTGGATGTACATTATCCCTTACATATATAACTGAGGTTAACTCCTATACAGTAAAGGATTTAGACACACTCAAAAAAAAAGACACCTGGGGCTACATTGGCACTTTGTTTGGTCTCATTGGGCTCAATAGTAGAACACCTCACTATGTGTGAGTGGATCGGATTTCCTAACCTGGAGCGCGTCCATTAGCATCTGCCAAGCGTCTGCAGCATCTGGAACAGAGCGACAGGTGCGTGTGTGAACTCGCCCCAAATCCACATCCTTTATGGTGTACAACGCAATCTCAAAATGCTTTCGGCCAGCAACTGTGAAACATACGCTAGTGATTTCACTCTATTCACCAGCAATAGCCATCTTTTAAACAATCCTCTTTACTCCCTCACAACATGATTGTTCTTATCCTGTAAACTGGTTTGACACACAGTTTGTGTTAACTTACGTCATATGGCGAGGATTATTAATGACAAAAAGCAGATGATTTCAAGTAAATATAATTTACATCGTTACACTAACCGTAAGGAGTTTAGTTGATGAGCAACAGGAGCCAAACAGGAAGTGTACGCATATACGTTTGATGGAATCCAGTTAGATCCAGGTTAATTCTGTTCTGTAAGTGCACTGGGTTAATGTTACTCACATATGGGAACACAACATGTGTGTAGATGCTTTGCCATTGTTCTTATAAGCTCAGGTGGTGCCCACATGCTGTCTGTGCTCATTTGAGGCAGTGATTTGATTAGCGGTATCGTAAACAGACTGTATTACATGCAGACGCTGCTGAGAACGGCTCTCATGAGACTGTCGTTTAGGTTCTCTCATAAATGATGCCTTTGGATTTGAGCATGTGATGGATAGGGTGACTCTTTTTTCCGAACATGTCCTGGCCAGGATTTCTAAACTCCCTAAAATGTCCTGGTTTTGGCTTTGTTTTATTGTTTTCATACTTGCTGAAGGTAAGAACTGAAAAGTATAGTCTGACCAATATATATAATCGACCAGTCATCAGATGCAAGAAGGTGGGATTTACAGAAAATACATAACATCAATGTACTAAAAATGGAGACGTTTTTCCTTTGCGTTGCTGAAAATGTCAAAACGATCTCATTCACACAGATCTGCGAAAAATGACTAAAAATGCTGTATTATTCATGCCAGGCCAGTAGTTGGCGATGCCACTGTAAAGAAATACTATGCATCTGCGTACATACCTATAGACTGAACACATAATGCACATGAGGTCACTGTTTTTTTTTTTTACCATGTAAATTTGCAGTTTACATGGAGATGATAGCAGTATAGCTTTCAAAAATTTAGCATTTTCAGGTCACCAAAATGCATTAAAAGTTTTCTATTTTTAGTTGAAAATGGAGTCGTGTAAACAGCCCCTTAGAAATCATACTACTGATGGAGATTGCTTGTTAAGAAAGATCGAGTTGTACGAGTACACAAGGCACTTTTATTTTCTCCAGAAAATGTAAAAATCTATTTTACCTAGAAATGTCTAGTATAACAATTCTTGTTACGGAATAACGGAGCAAAAATATGCCCTATGAAGGCCTTTCATGAATATTCTAGACATGGTAGTGTTTCTTTTTTGAAATCCAGGAACATCTTTCTTGGCAGCCCGGTGGGAGAGAAGTGGATGTCACATGTCCCAAAGTATTTCCATGTACTTGAAGTATAAAGCAGTCCAATAAACGATATTCCCTTCAGAGAAGAAAGGAGAACAGAGAGCTGTGGAGAGTTCATGGACATTGGATCCAGATGAGGGGTCGTCTCGCCTTGAAGAGCCACACAGGGATGAGATTGTGGTTCTTTCAGGCAGAAAAATGAAACCTGAACAACAAGGGGGTTTGCATTGTATGCATCTCTATCCGCTGTCCACTTCAGTTCCTTATATGATTGGCCTAATCTCTTTTTTCATTTAAAAAATGGAATGAATCATTGATGAATTCATAATCCAATGAATATTTAATTTTATTACATTTGCGTAATCCATGAAAAAAAAAAAATATATATTACACACCGTGCCTGCTATCACAAATTCTATCAAGTTTCAAGTGGTTAAATTCTTTCTCTGTTACGATATAACACTGTGAAATTCAATTAGCAACACGTAATTTCTTTAAGTTTTGTGATGTACATCTTACAGTATTGGATTATCAAAAATTTAAAAATGTACGGACAGGGACTTTTGAGATGTGGGTGTTGTTGTCGCTTGTTATCGATTGTTAAGATGCAGGGTTTCACTGGAAGATGGAGTTATATTTTAATTAAACATGATGAGGTCAAAAAAAGTAAATTGTAAAGAAGTAAAAATGAAACACATACATGGATTAATTGTTCACAATAAGATCTATACAAAATAGATTTTTTTTTACAAAATAGATGCTGAGTATTTTTGTCTTGTTCGTCTAAAATGTAGGTTTATGGGGTTTGTGATTCAATTTTTTGCAACAGTTTGCAAGTGGTATAAGAAAAATCTTTAATCATATTTAATTTGATATATATTCTCTGAAAACAAGTCTTAATGTCTTGTGCAATATTCTTCAAGTAAATCACGTTTAGATATTTTTACTGGAAAAGTTGCAGTGCATTTAAGGGCTTAAAACCAGATATTGGCAATGAAAGATGGGACATTTCTATACTGTCCAACCCAAACACAATCTCTCAAGTAGGTGAAGGCAGTCAAAACCTGTGAAAGATTCTTTTGATTAAAACATTTAAGTCTTGATTTGACTCAAAGGGCCTATCGATACAATCCGTCCAGATTTCCCACAAAGCACCATTGAGCCCACCACGAAGTCCAGTTTTAGCAGGAATGCTTTTGTAGGCCTGAACTCAAAGCGTTTCGATTACCCTGTGATGAATTTATGATTTATAGCAAAGTTGAAAAACTTTAACACTGGCAAAGGGCAGCAGACAAAAAAGTAATTATTTCATTTTCTCGAGGCTTTACTGGTAATCTGAATCCTCTTTCTCAGTCCTTTGCACTTTGTGGTTAAATAAATGTGGTAAATCTGTGCTACTTTGGAATGTTTTCCTGCTGTTCCTCCTTGGAATTCAGCGGTGCACACAACAAAATAAAATATCCAGGATTAATCTTCTTTTAATTGTTTTATATGAGTTTTTTTCTAGGAGGTTTTGTACTTAGTTTGGCCAGCCAATATGTTGCAGGAGAGGAATGAAAAGCAGGTTTAGGAATGACGGATGGATTTAATTTTTTCATGCTTACCTTCACTCTTCAGGGGGTCATAAATTGAGTTGTGTTAGTTCATGTGTGGCATCCATATGGACCTTCAGGTGCGAGGCAGATAGCAGGACGTTTGGAAATTTGAAGGATACATTCTTGGATCATAATGTGAGTGATGCTTGTCCATGAAAATTCAAGAGTGGCTTCTTTTTTGGTAGTGTTTCTGGGATTTCTGAGGAAGAAAACCTTTAATACCCCAATCATTTTGATGGAGTATTCAATTACAAATGTAAGAGTCTTTGGCCCTGAGGGTCAACAGATTTAGACCCAGCAATAGTGACCAGTGGGAAGACCGATCTCCTCCTCACAATGATGAGCTTAAAGGGTCTCAGACCCTGAGTACTATGGTCATAAATCAGAGTTAAATGTCTTAGCCGATTCCTTCATTTCTCTTGCAGGAAGTCCGCTGGCATTGACCTGTGCACATGGTGTCTGCTCAGCATGAGGAGACACTGCAGAGAGCAAGCCGTGTAAACGCTCCCAGATGTATGATTAGAGCTTCTAGCACGTCCTTAACATACCTCTGGGAATGCTTAAAATCAGGGATTGTTTATTGTCCTCAATGGACTCGTACATCTTTTGTCTGTTTATTCAAAGGCAGAAGCTTAGCATTCGTTATTTTAGCCCAGGATGTTCCCTTACTTTTGGGTACAGACACTTCATTGAAGTTTGAAGGGCCTGTCACACTAGACCTTGTGTTCATTTCATACGCACACAAACACGTGAGCACCAATTTTTCATTTGGTGAACTCTGCAAATTCATATCGTTTTCTGAATGCCACTTATTTTGAATTCTTTTCAAAGAATGACATGAAGGAAATACAGTGCAGTTTCTGATTAATGCACGTTTAAAATACAAACTTTAATAAGAAAAGCTACTTTGAAAAAAATGGGTTTAGGATTGACTCTGAAAGAATTTTTAATCATAATTTTATAGTTACAAAGAACATTAAGTAACACATTAAATTTTGAAGTAGAAAGACTGAAATAGTGTTTTCTTGTCAAATGTACTGCAATAACCTGTGTTTTATTTATTTTGAAAAATCATTTTTTTACATGAAGTTGTGGTGAAATGGAGTAGATGTTTTTTTAACACTTTGAACTAATTATTAGTGTTGTCTGCTAATATATGCATCACTGTCACCGTTGCTCATGCTTAGTGTTAGTTGTTAACAAACCTCTAATCCAAAATATTAAAATTTAATTTGTTTTCTGTGATTGTAGATCATTGTGAGTACTAGCAGCAAATCATGAGTGTTTGAGTGACTAGAGAGCTGATCAAACTATATTATTTTAGGCTTACCTGTGACTCTACACCAATCAGATTGAGAGGGAGAGGGAGATTTTAAATTCAATGTTCTGGGTTTTACAGATAGAGAGGATGTTGTTGGTTTCAGGCTGTGCTGCACGCTTCTCTTACCTGTATAGTCTCTCAATCTTTCATAATTGCTACTTTCCTTTGCTCCCTGCAGTAAAAGCAGTAGTCCAATTTGAGTCCAATTTGACTCTACACTCTAACAAAAAACATGGTTCTTTGAAGGTTCTTTACACATTGTTCTATTTAGAATCACATTGTTCTGAAGAACCCTTTTATGCTAAAATGGTTCTTTGTAGAGTTTAGGATTCTTTGTTCCAGCCCTTTTTTTTAATCTTTAACTGTCAAAATTCTTTCAAAGCCACCAACTTTTTAATCTTCTGGAGCTCGATCAACCATCCAACTACACATTGGTCTTGGGGGGCCATGACACCTTTTATCAGGATTGTGTGTGTTTTTTTTAAAAATTTAAATGCATTTGTTATGACAAGACTGAGTGACCAACTTGCAGGTTGCAACAAGGCTTATGTTCCTCTCTCTGTTTCCAAAACGTTGTTTATGCATGTGGGATATCATGTTCCCCCTTTTCCCACCCTAACACGTACACAAAAAAAGTGGGAATAAACTGAGCGTGCATTTTTGATGTGGGATTGTCACAAGCTTTTGAGACAACTAAAAAAGGGCCAGAAATTGTACAGATATATGTTTCAAAGTTCAAAGGTCTCTGGCATTTTGATGACCTCCCACAATTCATTTAAAAGTATGTGATTTATCTGACACTGCTACTTTTAGAATAAGTCTAGGTGCTTCATGACACTTTTAAATCGGACTTCTCACCTCTGACATCAGAACAAAAATAAATCCTGTAAGGTCACCTTTTTCACAACTACTCAGATGAGTGTCTATACTGGACACTAGGTTGCTCCCATTACAGTCCCACACAGTCTGTGGAGCTTTCTGCAAAATAAAAGTAATAATAACTTATTTTATACTGCCAATTTGGCACATCCTTTCTATTTTTGACAACTGCACAACTTTTAATTTCCTGGTCTGACTAAAACTGATTTTAAAACAACATAAATGGACTACGGTGGATTTTATTTGTTAAATATTGAAATGACTTCTGACAATTATTTATTAGATTATCTTTTATTTATAGCCATATGTATAATGCGCATATCTGATCAGTATAACAGATAAAACACATGAAAAAGCCAAGGCTACTACAATGCCCAACAATTGTTCTAGATCATTGATTTCCCTTGCATTTGAATCTTTACTAAGTCTGTAAGTCTAATCTTAAATTTTGGTTGCAATAACAAGATTTTATGTTGTAAGTCAAAAGAAACGGGTCTGACTTGTCCTCATCCTAAAAATAGAAGAATGACATAATGCCCCAACATGATCATTTTGATTTAATTCTATGTTTCTCTCCTGATCTTTATCTTTTGATTTACCCCTCACACTTCCCCTCAGAGTCTATCTGCACTTTCCCTTTTTATGACCAGCTGTATGGTGGACTCCTGGGGTTTAATCGTCTGTTTTTCTCTTTTTCCACTGTTCAGGGTCCACTTGGTCTGGATGGCAAACCCGTGAGTATTCCCGAGCTTTAAAGAGACAAGATGAGAATGTGTGTGTGTGTGTGTGTGTTTGGAAAACAGGTTTTGTATTCTCACATTACTGGACATTTAATTACTTAATCAGCCTTTCCAAGGTAGTATGTGAATTTATGAGTGACATTTGGCTTTCAAATGATTTAAGTCACTTTGGAAGAAGCTTGTAACTGAAACAGCCACAAAGTTGATGCTTCTTTCATTTGATTACATACATAATTTTTTATTATTATTGCTCATAAACACTAACCATTACACTGTCAGAAAAAAGGTACACAACTGTAACTGAGATGGTACCCTTTCAAAATATGCTAATATGTACATTTTAGGTAATAATATGTACTTTAAGGCACTAATGTGTCTTTTAGACGTTGTACCTTATGGTACCACACCAGTGACAAAATCTGCCATGTAAATCTGTGTTTATGTTGTGAATATAAATGATGCCTCAATTGTGTAACTTTTCGAAAGCAATCAGAATTATGATGTTTGACTTGCGGATGTTAAAACAGTTGAAAAAAGGACAGACTTACATTGAAAGAGGGACCTGAATTATCTATAATTAGAGACCACAATGTCATAGAGATTTAGAGGTGGGCTCTTTTAAGCTCTTTTTGACTAGAAATGTAATAATTGATTTGTTTATTTGCAGGGTATCCCTGGACCTAAAGGAAGCCAGGTAAATACAATTTCAAATTTCTACTGTGCCCTGAAGGTTATTGTCTTATATTGTAGACAAATAAGTGCTACTTCAAACAGTAGGTTTATGGAAGTTATAAACACAAATCTGCAAGCTGTTCGCTCATACTGTGTACATGAGGAATTATGGTTTTATTTTTGCATGGCATCAGGGGGATTAAACTCCTATTTAAGTTTTCAAGCCATCTATCACCTCAGATATAGGGTCACACACCACAAAATGTCTTTTACCTTGTATGTCTATCCGCAAATGAGATGGAAATAATGGATTATACACCAAAAGGAGATAATTCATCATTGTTAGCTTGTGCTGTTGCAGATAGGCGGTCGTTTATGAACCCTGTCACGCTCTTTAGCGCTGCCAAAGGAAAGCCATTTGTCCAATGTAACGTAAACCACTTCTTCTGGAAAGCAGACCACCTCAAAACGCCATTCGTCTGTGGCTTCCTGTGAAAGACAGTTGTTTTGTTTTGACTCGCATGAAAGAAAGTCTAAGGTGGTCATACAGTAGGTCTCATTCAGGCTGAAAATGTTGTGATGCATATAACTGATGCGGATCATAGAATATTCTCTATCTAAAATGAGTAAGAGTTTGTAGTTGCACCACGGTTGAATCTGATTTAATTCACATGTGACACAGATGTTGTTTAGATGACAGTGTGAACAGCAAGAATCACACTGACTCTGACATTTTTTATGCCAGCCTTTGCTACTTTCATATGTGGAATTAAATTATGGTAATGCACTTTTGCAATGTGACAAACACATTTACAGTTTACAGTTTACTGACAGTTTACAGTTAAAACTGCTATTGATTAAAAAATTAAATATGTTTTAATTAGAGTATGTTTTTACAGCACTCAGGTTCTTTACATCATTATTACAATTTCCCCCTTTTTTCACCTCCTCACCCTCATAATTATTCAACATGCACTTTGCATCAGCTTCACTAGCATTGCCTCTATTTTTCAAAGCAATGTGTTTTACACATGTAGATCAGTTTCGAAGCCTCGTCAGTTCAGACCAGTGTCTGAAATGGGTCACAGTGAGAAGGTCATGTGAACAAGCTCATAAAAATATCAGATTTGTGCAGAAAATGTGAATTTGGCAGTTGTCTTGTGGTATGAAGGTTGCCATAGACTCTCTTCCCTATCATTTCCACTCACATAGTTTCACTCCAACCATTTTCTTTATGTTCAGTCAGTTGTACATTCATCATATTCCCAGACTTTTGACCATGTTATTTGCAAATGACTTTTAAGATCAAAGATTACAGCTATATCTAGTGCAGATGTGAGGTGCAGCCTATACTTTTAGTTGGGAAAAAGATGACTTAGAAAAAACTTTGAAGATGAGATGCACGTGAAAGTTAGAGGATACTGAGATGCTAAAGACTCTTAGTGAATGACTTATGGTTCACATGGTATGTTTTTGAACTATGCTGTATTTTCAGCATATCTGTCTAATCATCACACCCAACTCATTTATTTCCAGGGGTTGCCAGGACCAAAAGGAGATAAGGTACATTTAGTATCTTTTTTTTGTCAATATTGTACAGCACACACACACACACACACACACACACACACACACACACACACAGGATGCTTCGTTCAGCAAGCAGATGTTTTCCAATTTCTAAAACAACTCACAAATTTCATTTGCATTGGCTTTTATCTTCAAACACATGTTTTGGAGGGTATGTAAACTGTGTCAGGCATGAAATGAGAGAAACAAGAAACCTGTGGTAAATGAAGACCGTCTTGAATTCTTTTCCTGGTTGCAGTGAAAAAAAAATATATGCACAATAAAACAAAAACATGGAGAGCCTCAGGATGCTTTTTCTCCCAGATCAGTGTTCCTCATTTATACAGTAGTAATTAGTAAACATATCTATTCTCATTCTCTGCCCTGATTTAATTTATATGCTCTCTTGTTATAAGATAAAGGTTAAATTATGACTGAGTCTGATTAAATGAGCTAACTCATCTTGTTAGTGGGCCAGGAAGCTTTCTGTTAGATGTAAAACAAAAGCAGTGTTTGTTAAGACAAGTATCATCAAGTAATATTTCATACATCTCACTTCCAACAACATTTTCACCTTCGGTGTGGACGGACAAATTGCAAACCACCACATAGACACCTTAGCAATCATCCACACACAGTCACGAACCACTCAAATTCTCTTCAGAATATCAAGAAATCTAGTATTTACCATAGTTCACGTGTCGCTAATTGTATTTCTTGTCTTTTTGTGTTGTAGGGTGATCAAGGAGATACAGGGCCAAGGGTCAGTACACGCATACTTCTGTCACTTTGAATAAATTTATTTTATATTAATATTTTCCCTTACAGTCAGAGGAACAGAATGTCAAATGTGCCTCAGAATAATGAGAACGATACCTGACTAGATATTAATCACATTTATGAAGATACATCATAAATCAGAATTGAAGGGCTGAACTGTGTGTGGCAGAGGGCTGAATTCACTCTTTCTATTATTGTCTTGATCTTTCTTTATTATTTTTCTCACACACATTCAAAGAAGTGGCAATACATGAATGTGCAGATATGCGAGATGGGCAACTAAAGTAGATATGGGAAGAAAATATCGATTTTTTTTATTGGGTTGGGTAATTTCTTTAGAGTGACCACACCCACATGCGGCAGTAGTGGCCCCAATCCAAACATAGGATTATTTGGTCAATATTTGGCTATTTTGAAATTATCATCATTAAACAAAGAAGTGTTCATTTTGCCTATATGTGTTCCGAAATTCACCAATATTTTTGTCAATTTACCAACATTTGTCTCAACATTAATTTTTTTAATACACTGTAAAATAAGTATTTATTTAAATTAAGCACTATACTTTATATAAATAAAAATGGTTTATATATACACACACACATACATTCAAACATAATCATATAAAATTTTACTTTCTGAAATGACTTGAACAGTGCTCTGATACATATCCTGCTTCTCTTGTATGTTTAAAAGAAACAATCATGGGAGTTATCTATTTTGAATCTATTTTGATTCACTAAGGAGTCTGCTGTGTGTGTATCTGTGCATGTGTGTTGATTGCATGTTTCAGAGCAAAAAAATGAAAAATGTCTACAGGCCAGCTAAATCCTAACAAACCTCCCTGCGGGGAAGCTCTCAAAAGGAAAAATAGAAAGTAAATGATGTCTTTATTTTCTTCTAGAAATGCCACAAGTTTTATTTTAGGGTTGGGGTTAGTCTGCTGAAAATATAATTAGCGTAATTTATATAATGTAAGAACAATAGAAGTCTATGGGAAGCTTAGTTAGCTGAGCGTGTGTGTAGTGCTGAGTAAAGCAGCAGTGTGGGAAACCTCAAGCATCCCTCAGGTCACCACATCCCTGCTAACTCAACCCTCACGCTGGCATCGACATGCTGTGTCACTCTTACTTTCTCTCTGTTTTGCTCTTTTTTTCTCTTTCTCTGTTGCAAGGCTTTAGTTCTCCGATGTTTTGAAGCTAACTTTGATTAGCTTTTGAACTTTCAAAGCTTTGCCAGGTTTAAAAAAAAAATAAAAAATACGACAGTGAAAAGCTATAAAATAATCCTTACACTTTTCAATTTTTGTCAGTTTCTCAAATTCAAAGAGAGAAAAAAAGTGACATCCTTCCTTACCTGGACGGCACAACCTTATTTAAAATCTTTTGCGGCAGGCATGTGACATTTCTCTGTGCTTCTCGAGCAGCTCTCTGTTACTGCTGTCAGCACAATCCAGCTCTCAGATTATGGTTTGCAGAGACAAGTGAACATAAATATGTTGTTCAGACCAATGTGATTTAAGACAACAAAAATAAAACCATGGTTTTTGTCCAGTGTTATTTCAGGGTGGCAAGACCAACAATTTTACATTATTTGGTCATGTTGTATTTGAATCACAGTTCTATTTATGCAGTGCAGACACATTGTCCGTATTTAGATCAAGTCAAAATTGCAAGTGTTGTTTTTAAGTTTCATGACATGGCATGAGTTTGAATAACCGATCCAGTCATATCCAATGAGAACTCAACAATATATATCGAATGTATACTATATACTGTATAAGCAAATGGGATTTTATTCATAATGTTTTAATTATTATATCATATCATATCATATATATTATAATGACAGCAAGTAAAAATTGCTTAATTTAAATAAACACTTATTTTACAGTTTTTTTTAACAAAATCATAGGAAAAAAATATTAAAGTGAATTAAAATGACATAAAATGTACACCATCATTTAAAAGTTTGGGGTCAGTAAGATTTTTTAAGTGTCTTTGAAAGATGTCTCTATTTATTTGATCAGAAATACAATAAATACAGTAATACTGTGTTTTTAAAATAAATTAATATATTTTAAAATGTAATTTATTTCTATGATGCAAAGCTGAATTTTCAGCATCATTACTCCAGTCTTCAGTGTCACACGATCCTTCAGAAATCCTTCATATGCGGATTTGATGATCAAGAAAAATTTCCTAATTTCTTAAAAAATAAATAAATAAAATAAAATTCACTGACCCCAAACTTTTGAAAGGTAGTGTGCATTGACAAGGATGTTGGTCAATTTTGAGACGCAGCGTTTCGTTGCTTTCATTTCAAAATAGTCAAAAATAATTGCTTTGACCGTTATATATAGGTCTGTCATTAGAAGGGTATATCTTGAACTAAAGCTAAATCATCCAAATTCCTGCAAGGTGCTCTACTGGGTTTGATATTTCACAATCCAGTGGCAGCGAAATGCTCTGTCAATGCTTTTCTGATGACTGGTCTGTGTATCTCTGCTCCTCTGTCCATCCTGTTCCTCTCGCAGGGTCATGGCACTCATGCAGGCCTGCATAGTAATCAGATTCTCATTAAGGTTGGTCTCTTCTCTGCTGCCATAGCCTTCATCTCCAAGCCGCTCCATGTCCGGGAAGGCCGTCTCCCTTCATGGCCCCTGAGATCTTGCTCAGTTTCCTCACTATCCCTCAATCTGAAGTTTTCAATGCTCTTATTGTTTCTCCTTTGTCTTTTCCTCCTCCATCTGTTTTTCCGGGGATTTCCTGTCTCTTTGTATTGGGGACTCAAATGCACAGATGGTCTTTCCTCGTTACGATCACAGCTACATCTCGGCCGATCAGCCCAGTTTCCAGAGGCGTATGCTGAAGGTAGCATGTGTGCAAGGCATGTGCAGACACTCCCCTTACTAGATCTTCATCTTCCTCAATTTTAACCCATGTCATTTTGCATGATTGCTTGTGTTATTGTTTGTGTGTCTTATACTTACAATCAAATAAGCTCATCCATGTGTGAAGGATCAGAGCGTTGCATGCAAGTAGTTTGTGCTTCAGTGAATGAGGCTGATGCAGGGCGAATCTCACCAAAAAATATCTGGGTCATATTTTACCACATAATCAATATATATATATA